CCCAAAACCCCTTATGAAAGTTTTCTAAGAATTTTAGAGACATCTTGATATGTAAAAATGGTAATCGAATATAAAATTAAAGTTTATTTAATTCAACAGCTATAATTATGAATAAGACTCCAAAGTACACTTCTCCACTGCTTTCGACCTCTGCCAGAAAACAATCTAAGTCCAAACCCTTAGTTAATCCAAGCACTTAGTAGACTCATAAAAAACAACCACTTTTTATCATCAGAATTGATGTTGGTAAGTAATATATGCTTTGATAATTTTAGGGGATAATAAGTTTGAAGATCTTAAATTCTACGAAGGTGATAATTCTCAAAATCTGGCAGCCAAGTTTGGCAAAAAATTTGGACTAAACGATGAAGCCATTGGGATATTAGCTTAATAGCTTTCCTCTAAAGTTGAAGATGAGACTGCCAAAAAATAATAATAGCAGCAAATATTAAGGGAAAAAATTAAATAAGATATTTAAGATGAACTAAAATAATAAAAATCTAGCAGACGCAGTAAGAGCAGATTATAATCTCAAAGGTAATCAAATTTACAGAATTGCACAGCTGCAGACTAGGCTGTAGATAGTGGTAATCTGTCTATGGTTAATCAATAGCCAGCCCACGATAGACTTTATAATATAGCTATGACAAAAAATCAGAAACAAAAATAGCTGCAGGAGTAATAAGAGGCGGGCTCTAACGGTAAGAGTCTTAACTCAACATAAAAATGCAAAACAGCTAGATCATTTATGAAATAAAATAGCACTTCCAATTAAAATCTCCTCTCAGCAAGCAAATAACGAAACAATAATAACAACAATACCTAAAGTATCATGCTTTAGAATATGAACTCAAGTACTATTGGAGGTAGTTCTTCCACAACTTATATAAACAACAATGTCAATTACAGTGGTGGGTTTGGAGACAGAATGTATCTATAGCATACCAGGAAAAAAGAACTGTTTGATATTAATCCAATGGAGGATTTTCAAAACAAATAAATTTAGGACTTCATAACTTATCATCCACAGAAGCATTCAAATAAGTAGTCTTTTGTGGCATCACACTCTTCTTCTATGATATGCGGAGATCGATTTTTTAATAGAACTGAGGAAATATTATTAGACTGGGGCAAGAAGTATAACGATCGTAAAGTAAAATTAGCTGAGGAGAGAGAAGAGGAAATCAAATAGGAGTGTAAGTTCTAGCCACAACTGGATGAGAAAAGATTGCAAAAGTATTTGAAATAGGATGGAAGCAGGAGTTTGAAGGACATACACTCATTTTTATTCGAAGAGGATAAAGCCAGAAATCAAAAGTTAAAGGATGAGTAATATAAATAAGAGGAGGATTTGAAGAAGTAAGCTAATAGAGTTTCTATATCAAAGGAAAGAGCTGTTTAAGTGGTGGAAGAGATCACTAATAGATTAACGAATTTGAACTAGCGCAAAAAATGGTTTGAGGAAAAATCTCTTGAGAGATAAAGATATGAGACCAAGGTAGATATCGAAACAGGCTAGGAGTTATTCAAACCAAAGCTGAACTTCTCAGCCAGAAAGGAGAAAAACGACCATAACAAATTTGTGCTTCAGCATCAAAAGAATAATAAGGAAAATAAACTAGGCATCAATGAGATACTCTACCTTGAAAGTAAAGTAATCAAAGAGCGCAAAGAGTAGCTGAAGTAATCTTACATGAATCAATCTAGAGATGAGATTAAGCTGAGCAATAAGTCTTAGAAAATGATAGAGAACAGACAAAGGAACAGTCTACAGGAGTTATTCTGGGCTTTGGATTCAGACAATGATGGACTCATCAGCAGTGATAAGATTGATTTAGGGCAGCTGAGTAATAAGGCTCTTGATATCTTAACTAACTTTTTGGTTAGCATGGAAGAGAGGAGATTAGTCTTAGACTTTGAGACGTTCTTGATACTCATAAATCAAGTTTTACAGGTAAAATTACTTCTAATTAATATGATATTGCTTTATAGAACTTGTCATTGGTAGATAGGGATGAATTACTTGCACCAAAATAAAAAGTCAAAGAGATTAAGAATCATCATAGTTTCAAACCTTAAATTTCTGAGAGATCTCATAAGCTAGCCAACAAGAGAAGCTAATCAAGAGGTGACTTGACTGAATATCTAACTAGGCCTTTAAGTTCAAAGAGATCTTAAGCTAACACAAACAACTAGTCAGTATACTCGGAATTTGAGAACTTGCAAGGGATAGAATCAAGAGAGCTGAAAGATTGCACTTTCAAGCCAAATATTAGCAAAAAGAGCCTTCACTTAGGCAAACTCGTCAAAGAAAGAGAGATCTCTGGATGTTCTTCTAGACAAGATGCTATTCATAAGGATTTCCAGCCTCTGATTGATAGAAAAAATCAAGAGCTTCAATTTGTGATGAAAAAGACAATAAACCTCAGAATCGATCAGTGATTCAAAGAAGAATAGAAAATACTTATCATTTGATAGGTTGGTGATTATGTGGAATAAGTATAGGAAAATTTTATGTCTGTGAATGAACGAATAATAATGACCCTTGATTAATGATTATTATTCAAAGCAAGCTCTAATCTTTTAAGATTATTAAATATTAAATAAAACTTAAGGTCTTATTATAAATAATTGCTATATATTCATAGATTTAAAAGGACATTTATAACTCTTTGTATCATATTAAGCTATTTTTATTTACTTCCATGATTTTATCTAGGAATGACTACACTCCAGCCCCATTAGCCTTTGATTTTCTAAGTTTTCTGTTTAATATTTAGCTGCCACTGTTAATAGCTTTGCTTCCAGCAGCTAGCACTCCATTTTCATCAAAATCCTAAATACTTCTGTAGTTTAGGGATACCTTAGTAATAGGACTATCATAAACTAAACTTCTATTTCTAGAATTGTTATTTTGATAGGATTGATTTTGATCTCGAGTAATGTTAGTACTGACTCCAGATTAGTTAAAATAGCTTCCGTTAATTTAACTCAAAAGACTATTTTTTGCTTTACGAAGGTCCATCATTTATTCTATTGATGCAGGTGCGAAAGTATTATCTTTAGGCTTTTGAGATAGTCCATATCTCTCGTTAATGCATCTACTATATTTAGCCTGGTACTATAACTCAATGCTATCATACTTTTTGGGTGATTGTGATACTTGCTGCAAATTCCCTTCTTATTTCTATATTATCTGAGAACTATTTGTACTTATCTTGGCTGTGGTGTTTTACTTTTTACCAATGAATGAATTAAAAAATCTCTTATTCCTACTAATCTTATGATTTTTGTTATAACTTTGATACTGGTCTGGTGAAAGAAAGACTGAATTTTTGTTCTATGCTATAATTTCAGTTTAGTTTATATCTCTTTATGACTGAATAGCATTCTTCAGGTTATTAATATCAAGTTTACCTTACTGATCATTCTAAGGTACCATAAAGAATGATTTCCGTAGATTTATTTTAGGATTATTCAGCTATTAAATGGAATTATTGTAGCTCTCCTATTTATATTAAACCTATTAGTTATCATTCAAACTCATTCGAATTTAACTATGATATTTGCCTAAGGTCTCATTTGCATGAGAGTTGAGAAATTATACTTCTTTAGTGAAACTTGAAGCATGCTCATTCATATTAGTTCCATTGGACTTTTGAGTTTTACTTTATTTTATATCTTGAACCAATCGAAATTAATCCATACTCTGATCTTGATTAGTAATTGAAGTATTATTGGGATTCATTTGCAGAAAATTCCTTGAGTTTAAATCATTTGAGCCTAACCCAAAAGTCAGGGATGTAGAAGCCATTTCTCTTTAATTGAATGTGGTTTCTGTCTTTCTTTTTTCATCCAATGCCTGAATAAGTTGACTATATATCCTACTCTCTCATTTCTATTTCTCCTCTCTTCTAAACTCGATTTCCTCCTTTGGGATTTAAAACTTTTAATATAGATTATCATTATCCTGCAGTCTCATCTGACCCTTGAACAGTTCATTGAAATTTTATATACTTTCACTGATGTTCTTATCCAAGTTAGATTATTATCGCTTCATTTCATTTAGATGAGGCAGTTCTGTGTGCTATTTAGTCTACTATTATGTGCTCAAATTATTTATGTCTTAATTCATGTGCTATTGGTGGTGCTATGGATTGTTTCTCTAATTTATCATGAGCCTCTTAGCCATTATGGAGGATTCAGTGTCGTGAATAGATTGCATTAAGCTCTTTTTAATCTAAGTCTAAACAGTTTTTCGATACAAAAAGTTAAGCATTTCCCCTAGATCTGTGGGGAGAAATATGATGTCAGCTGAAACCTTTTCATAGTCATTATGTCTGATGTCTTTTCTGAGCTTCTTTATAAGATCTTTGAACTTTTAATAGGATCTATTCGATAGCATAGCCTCTTCAAATTCCTTGAGAGTCATCTTACGCTTCTTAAACTTCCCAACTTGTGATCCTAATTTATCTTCACTTTGAGTTTGATGAATGAACAGGTTTTATATCTCATCTATAGTTATATCTATCCCTACAGACTTGAACATGCTATTTATCTCTTCAAGATTCAAAGTGCCAGACTAATTTGTATCAAATTTCTGGAAGAGTTGATGTATTTCCTAGATCTTTTACTTTTAGTCTAGAGTATTTTAATAGTTGCTGTTCGATGAATGCTTGTGTCATCAAAACCATTTTATTGTATTGAATTACCTTAATGGGTTTACTCTTTCAGGGCTAAATCAATAAGATAAAATATTGAGAAAATCTGCATTGAAAACTTTTGGAAATAAAAATGTAGAAAGTAATGATGGATTTGAACTTACCTAATTTATTTTAAGTCTTATTGAAAAATATTCTTGTCATTACTTTTGTGGCGCGAGGATATATTCTCACTATTTTAGACTGAGATGTGATGCTGAAGCAAATTACTTATATTCATTATTAATTTTAATTACTTTAAATTTTTTTAATTTTACTATTTAATTTTAGTTGCATTAATATTCATTATGGGGTTTTGGGGTTTTGGGGTTTTGGGG